CTAGTTACCATGTGGTAACTAAAGAATCTATTCTGTTTCCATCTTCGGCTTATGGTGAGGCTTTCTCAGTTGCTTCAGCAGAGGTTTGTACACAAGCTCTAAATGCTTCAGCCTGCTAGTTACACAGAACTCAAACTATTACAGGGATCTGGCCCAGTGATCTTGCCAGACTGCTAGGAGGCTGGGAACTGTGTGAAACATTTTAACAAACATATGTGTGCTTGCCACAGGCTATTGTAAAGAAAGTAGAGTATCTACTCTATCCTGAGACCCTAAACAGTGTTTAAAATGTTAATATACAAAAATGCAACCAAAGTTTGAAACTACCCATTCTATGAAATGTTTTTTGCCTGAGTTTGACTTGTTTTTATTGAACATAATTCATGAGTTTGTGAAACCACTGACTTTAAAAGTAATTTCTAGAGTATAACCCATTTATAGGTTGAAGACTGTGGTTACCATAACTACACTGCTAAGTTAATCAGTCATTTGCTAATAGCTAAATTCCATGGATATTTTAGTTACCTGTTTTATTATTTCTTTTATAAATTGACTGTTTTCTGTCTTCTTAGAATGTCTTTAAAAAAAGTTATCTTTGGGCTCGGTGCCTGTGGCTCAAGTGGCTAAGGCCCCAGCCACATACACCTAAGGTGGCGGGTTTGAATCCAGCCCAGCCCACCAAACAACAATGATGGCTGCAACCAAAAAATAGCCAGGTGTTGTGGTGGGCACCTGTGGTCCCAGATACTTGGGAGGCAGAGGCAGAAGACTCGCTTGAGCCCAGGAGTGGAGGTTGCTGTGAGCTGCGATACCATAGCACTCTACCCAGGGGGACAGCTTGAGGCTCTGTCTAAAAAAAAAAAAAGTTATCTTTGGTGAAATACTACCTTAGGTTTTCTGGGTTATGTGTATCAGTGGTTGGTAAAATTTTTTAAATAGAGTACCACATGATAAATAGCTTAGGCTTTATGGGCCATATGCCACAACTTCTCAATTCTGCCATCTTTCACCTTTGTTGTTGTGCAGAAGTGGCCATGAACTTCTACATACACTCACTCAGGGATGAGTGTGGTGTGTTCCAATAAAATGTTACTTGCAAAAATAGGCGATGGGCCATAGTTTGTTTACCTCTCATCTTCCTGGCTATTACCTTTATTCATCATCTCAAGCAACTCGCCGTCCTTCTCTGTTAAATATATGTGTAGTATCTCTAAATTATCATTAGCCACCTTCTCATTTTTTACTTGTTGAGTAGCCTCATTCATGTTCGTTATTTTAACTGTTTCAAGTGTTAGAATCAGATTTGTGGTGGGTTTTGGCTTTACCTGTTACTAGCTTGGTTACTTAGTGTGTCTGAGTTCTGTAAATTAAGGCTAATAATACTTGCTTGGAATTGTAAGCATATGATTACATGTATATGTAAGGAGGTTAGCATAAAGATCGGCAAGTAATACATGGTTGACAAATGGTACCTCCTGTTGTTTTGTTAATTATCTTCACACATGTTGACTCTGGCGTCTGTATCTTGATCCCAGAAGTTTTTTTAGACTTCCAGTTTTTATCTCTATTGGACATTTTAATTTAGCTATTCTATACTATCAGTTATGAAGCATTCAGTGGCAGGTAACAGTTTTCTTACATATCAAGAAGCTTGGAAGCAAAGAATTCTAGAATTCTAAAGCCAAAAAATTCTCTGGTATCAGAGTATTTTCATGAGTCTCTTGGTTCAGGAATCTCTTGGTGGTAGTCTTCATGGTTGCAAGATATTGCAGTTGCTTCAAGCATCCTGTCCTCACAGATCTGTATCCAAAGCAGTAAAAAGCTGGGAAGAAGAAGGGTCTTATCTCTGTGTAATGTTTTCCTTTTATTATAAAAGTTACTATTAAAAAAAGCTAATTAGGAAATAGAATTTATAGGACTTGAACACTTTAAGGTGGGAAAAACTTGAGGAAGTATAAGATGACTGGTAAATTTTTGCCTTAATTGTTCATAAGCCATAAAATTCACTCTTTTAAAGTAGTGTTTTTAAGTACATTTACAGTTGTGCAACCATCATTATTATCAAATGTTAGAACATTTTCATCAGCCCCAAAAGAAACCCTGTACCCATTAGCAATCATTTCCTCTTCCTCCACTAATCTATTTTCTGTCTCTATGCATTTGCCTGTTCTAATAAACTCTTCTAGTCATCATATTTTTCCCATCTTCTTTTTAGAGTTCTCATTCAGAAAGGACTGTAGGTCATGCACAATTACTAGTTTGCTAGCTGTGACGCATCCTTTTCTTTCTGTCTGTCTGGTACCCGAAATAATTAATGCATAGCCATAGTAGCTTTGCTGATATTTGGGTGAATTAACAAGTTAATTCATTTATAGCATCGAGTTTTCACAGTGTTTCGGGTAACCATAATTAAGAAACATTGGTTAAGAGTAGTTTAGAGTTCCTTAACATGAGATGTCCCATTCCTAGTTATTCATAAATTACTTTTATTTTCCTTCTGTGTCTTTGCTCAAGATCTTTCTCTATTTGGGACCCACCCTACGCATCCCCACCCCTCAGGGCTTTCTAGTTGCTTAATACTTCTTAGGCTCAGTCAGGGAATCAGAAAATTCCACCTTACCCACCTGCCCCAGGGAAACCCTCTCTACAGAACTCTCTATTGTTCTTGCCATATTGTGTTTTATAAAAGTGTCTGTGCATTTGATTTCTGTAGTCCAGGGATCTCTGAACTTTCTATTGGTCACCTGTAAAAAATGTTTTTAATATATCTGCACAGTTATTTATAAAGTATGTGCTTATGCTATGCAGTGATGTATTAAATAGTAATAAGTCTTTTGATAAAAAAATACATAAATGTGAGGTGTAATGCTTTCATCCAGTACTTTATTTTACAACCAGTGATAACTGAGTTTCTTGATGGCAGGCACTCTTTTCTCAGTGTCTTGCTTATTCTTTATCTACTTCCTTTAGGTATTCCTTTTTGTGTTTATCTTTATTATACCCCTTACCATGCTGTATGTGATAATTATTGGTATACATTTATATCTTTTCAATAGTGTGTAAGTCTCTTGAGGATGAGTACTCTTTTAATTTCTAATGTTCCCATTGGCTTGCACAGTACCTATCACATAGTAAATAATTGTTTAAAATGAATAAAGTGAATTAAGTGTAATTAAGATAATGATCTTTTATTAAAAATATTTTTGTTATTTCTTTACTTTTTGTTTTTTTTTTGTTTTTTTGGCCGGGGGCTGGGTTTGAATCCCCCACTATGGGGCCGGCACCCTACTCCTTTGAGCCACAGGCGCCGCCCTCGGATAATGATCTTTTATAAGATTTATTTGAAAGATAGAAGGGCCATTTATTTTAAAAATGCTTAAAGTTTAGAGCTGTACATCTAAAATTGTGATAATAGACCAGATTCTTTATAGTTTTCAAACTATTGTATGTTTATGCTTTTGTAAAATACAACGTAAATTAAACACTAAAAAAAGACAAAGAAATATGCAAAATCTATGCCTTAATTTTTATTATAGATTCAATAGACATAAAATTACGTGCAACTTCTGTATTTAATAACTTGTTGTGGATTGGTAACAAAGAGTCTGTGGCCCTTTGCTGATCCATGTACCAGTGCTTTGAGAAACATGCTGTCAGGCCTTGTATGTGGTAGGTACTGTTGGCACCATTTATAGGAAACTGGGACACAGAGAAATACATTGTCTAAGAGGTCACATAGATACTGTATGGAACAGCCAGGGTTCAAGCCTAGATAGGATAGTTTGGCTCAAAGTCTATGTGCTAGTCTACTTTTGATTTTGCAAAGGTGAAATAAGGTAGTATTATATTTTAAGGACAGTTAAGCACAGACATGGATATAGACAAAGGCTGTTATAAGTCAGAATGTAATTCATTTGCCTAGAAAAGAGGTTAAGGGGCCACATGATGATTTTCATATAAAAGTAGAGTTATAGAAGGTGGTGACCAAGTATTCTTTTATACTCTTCAAGAGTAAGCATCTAGGCTCAGCGCCTGTGGCTGAAGTGGCTAAGGCACCAGCCACATACACCTGAGGTGGCAGGTTTGAATCCAGCCTCGGCCCGCAAAACAACAATGACGGCTGCAACCAAAAAATAGCCAGGCATTGTGGCGGGTGCCTGTGGTCCCAGCTACTTGGGAGACTGAGGCAGGAGACTTGCTTGAGCCCAGGAGTTCGAGGTTGCTGTGAGCATTCTACCTAGGGGGACAGCTTGAGGCTCTGTCTCAAAAAAAAAAAAAAAAAAGAATAAGCATCTACTTACATTTTACTTTGGTTAATATTAAACCCCCCTATTTGAGAAAACAAAAGAATTTTGGTATCTCTTTGAAATGTGTCCTTTTGCCATGACTCAGTTCCACATACTGAGTATATGCACCCTTCTGTATCCAAGGGGGATTGTTTCCAGGACTGGAAACAGGTACCCCGTGGATACCAAAATGTGTATCACGTTCCTGACACGGTGTTTGCACATAACATACACACATCCTCCTGTACACTTTAAATCATTTCTAGTTTACTTATAATACCAAATGCAGTATAAATATCTGTTACACTGGTTTTTATTTGTATTATTTTTATTGTTCTGTTATTTATTTATTTGAATAATTTTGACCTATGGTTGGTTGAAACTGTTGCAAAACCTTGGGATAATGGAAAGTCAATTTTACTTTGTTTCTCCTATTATTTCTCTTACCTTTTTTCTTATTTGAGAGCGTAGTCAACTAAATTATTTGATTTTACTCATATAAATACCAAAATAAACTTACTTTCTACAGGCATCAGTATTTTAAGAAGAAAATGTAAGTAATGATCATATTATGATGTTTATGGAATAGATAAACTGCTGTCTTAATTGTTTTATATCATGAAATTATTTGTTTAATGAAATTGGAAAGTACAAGAATACTTCAATTTCAACAACAGCATTTTTTATAAATTAAAAAAAATCTTCTTCCTATAGAAATCTGGTTAAGAAGTACTGTCCTAAACGTTCATCCAAAGATGAAGAGCCAAGGTAAATTATATGCCTGTTTCTTATCATATTAAGTAATTTAAAAATATTTTTATTTAGTAAAATAAATATATTGTTAGCTTTTTAAAGATTGTTATAAAGTTTGTTTTATTAAAAAAGTATTGTTTATGAAAGTGGGAATTACCGTTTATCTGAGGATAAATATTTTAGTGGGCTTAGTTACCAGTTTTCTAGAATAATTGAAGTGTGGGGTTCTGAGTAAAATATAGATTAGGACTCCACTTGAGTTATTTGTCTCCAGAAGAAAGGAGTATTTCATGCTTTATTTTCTAGTTGTCAGCTTGTTAGAGTCTTGTTTTCACTTTTATAGGTAGTAAAACAATTTGGCTGACTGGATTAAAGGGATAATGAAAAGAGATTTTTAGGGTCATTTTTAAACTCTTAACAAAAAGGTTAACCACCTATGAATTTTTTGGCAGTCTTAAACAGGAATATTGGATGACTGTGAAATGTAGAAACAAAAAGAGACTAGACTTAAACAAGCAAACAACTTTGCATAGAATCGTTGGGATTCTTAGATTTAGTTTTAATGGAGTCCTATCTGAACTGTCAGTCTTTAGCTATAAGAAAGTGTTCCACGATGTGTTCAAAGTAGATGCATACATTTTAATGCAGTGATTCTCTCTGTTTCTCTCCTTCCCTCCACACATATTTTTACCCTTATTTTTGACCCGTCTGTCCCCTTTTGGTGCAAACCATAATGGCACTTGACTCACTTCCATTCAGGATGTGGGCAGGCATACAGGCAGCTGTGTCCAGAGCTGATAGCAAAGTTGTTCTGTAGATCAGCCATCGAGATGCATTTGAGTGGTATGATTGGCAGGTTCTGTCCTCGAGAGCAAGCACATCATCTCTGCAACAGGTTCAGCTGCCAAGCCTAGGAATGCAACCAAGTTCATTCCCAAGCTCAGGCCAGTCATTTGGCAACTTAAGAGATTCCAGTATGCCAAAAGAGCCTGCAGGTAGTATTCTTATTATTTTTTGACCCCAAATACCCCTTTACTAATAAATTAAAGACTACTTGAAAATATACAAACATGTACAACTTGAACTTAATGTAGGATTCTTTCCATATGAAGTTATAGACCTCGTAGCTAAGATTTAGGTTGGATATGTTAACATCCATCAAGTGTTAGGCTCAATCCATACCTTACCAAAAACATGTAATGAAGATAAAAATAAATCTGACCATTTAAAAATATGTTTTTGCCAGGTTTACGTCGTGTATAGCCTTTTTTAACATCCTTAATGAGTTAAATGACTATGCAGGACAGCGAGAAGTAGTAGCAGAAGAAATGGCGCACAGAGTGTATGGTGAATTAATGAGATATGCTCATGACCTGAAAACTGAAAGAAAAATGGTAATTCTTACGATTTTTATCCAGTTACAATATAGATGAAATGTTTTTGCAGAAATAATTCCTTTTTTAAAAATGCATATTAGCATAAACTGGTTTTCTATTTCACTAAGTTTCTAGCTGAAAATTATCACAGGGCACTCCTGTTAATTTATAATCCTTTGGATTTAAGACCAAAGTTTGGCAAACTACAGACTACTGCCTATTTTTGCTTCCTAGTTTCCACAAACTAAGAATGGTTTTTTAGATGGTTGAAAAAAAATTAAAAGAATGACATTTTATGGCATGTGAAAGTTATATGAAATTTAAATTTCATTGTTCATAATTAAAATTTAATGGAACAGACTCATTCACTGACTTACATATTGCATATGGCTGCTTTTGCATATTCATCAGCAGCAGAGTTGAGTGTTTATGACAGAGGAACTGTGGCTTGCAAAGCCTAAAATATATGGGTATTTATCATCTGACCCTTTGTAGAAAATATCAACCCCTAGTCAAGACAGTCATTATTTTCCTAGACATTATATCTTTTTTTTTTTTAAAACAAAGTCTCACTATGTTGCTCTCCATAGGGTGTTGTGGCATCACAGCTCACAGCAACCTCAAACTCTTGGGCTTAAGGGATTCTCTTGCCTCAGCCGCCCCAGTAGCTGGGACTATAGGCGCCTGCCACAACACCCGGTGATTTTTTTGTTGCAACTGTTATTGTTGTTTAGCTGACCCGCCAGCGCCAGCATTGGTGTATGTGCCGAGCCAGACGTTGTATCTATTTTAAAGGTTATAAAGTATTAAAATAATATCCTATACAATGCATTTTAGAGAGTTCTGCTTTTTCTTGCTAGTCTTGCTAGAGTCTTGCTAGTCTTGGTAAAGTTATAATTAATGTCTCAAAAAAATAAATAGCCTTTTGAGGACTTTAGACTTTATTTCATATTTAAATTTAATTATTTTTGTTTGCTTTGTCTTATTTTATTTTTTGGTGGTGATTAATCTTTAGCATCTCCAAGAAGGACGGAAAGCTCAACAGTACCTTGACATGTGCTGGAAACAGATGGATAATGTGAGTTATAATGTTTTCATGATCAGCATAAAATTTTTTTTGACTAGGTTAGCCCTAAATTTTGTTATACTTCACATCTGTTGGAGTTTAATGTTTCTCAGTGTATTATTCATAATTTGGCATGGGTTTTGTTGTGAAATAGCTGATTAATTGTAAATGGAGGATGTGAAATCATTTTGTTATTTGTCTTACAGCTTTTCTATATAAGTATGCTTAAATGTGAATCTTTATATCATTGTGAACATTTAGAGAGATTGTTGGCTTTATGGAAGTTACTATACAATATTAATAGAGGAGAGAATAGGGCAACAGTGATAATGTCTTAGAAGACCCCTGACTGAGAGAACCAAGAGTTTACTTCTACCTTTTTCTTAGCACTTCATTTTTCTTGACTTCACGTTTAGCATATGAAAAATGAAGTGAATGGACTAGGTTAAATGAATTTTTCTTCCAGTTCAGTGATCCTATAGTTATATTTATTTCTATTGTTTTAAGACAGGGCTGCACTTTGTCCCCTGGGCAAGAGTGTAGTGGCATCATTGTAACTCACAGCAGCCTAAAATTCCTGGGCTCAAGGGATCCTCCTGCCTTAGCTTCCCAAGTGGCTAGGACTGTAGGAGCTCACCACCATGCCAGGCTATTTTTTTCTAGGGTCTCTGTCTTCAGCTGTGATTCTGTAAATGCTCCTAATATTAGCCACTAGTCCAGAGACCATTCTATTGTAGGAAATAAAATAGTTTGTAGGGCAAAATTATAAAAACATAATGATCATTTACTTAAAAATGTTTCCAAGGTACTTGCTAATGTGGTTTGTATTAAATGTTCTGATGTATAGTAATTTGAAAAATAAGATGTCTACATTGAATACTGTGGTTACCTTTACTTAAAATGCTCTATTAAATGATGTCTACATTGAACACCATACTTACTTTTACTTACAATGCTCTATTGATGTTCTGTAGTTTAAGATATTCTTATTAACTCTTAGATTATCAAACAATTTGTTCTTTACCAGCATATTTCTCTAATGGACATAGAATTCCTTAAAATTTAGGCTGGAGAGAGTTTTTTATGTTAAATTAATCAATTTAGTCCTTAGAAAAAGGACTTTGAGATATTAAAAATCCTCATCCATATGATTTCACTGTTTTTAGCCTTTCTTTCCTTGTTTAGAAACTCAAAGTTTTTAAAGCTTAAAGTTCTATCTTTATTTTTTCTGTTTTCATTTTTATTTAGATTTTATTTCTAAGTGGTTTTAGCCAGACTTTCAGGGAGTATTTGTGTCAGTTAAACTTTCTATTGCCTTAACTAGAATCTCTAATATCTGCTACCTAATGAGTGTGTACAATATGTGTTTTCATTTGTACAAAATAACAGACGCCTACGTTCATGAGTGATATGAATTGTGGGCTCCTTTGAAAATTGGTGTTGACACAAATCATTCTTGTTAGTATGTGCTGACTTGTCTTTAGAACCATTGGCAGTTATTAAGCAAAAGTTATAGAGGTCATAAGTAAGAAAGAAGCATCAAGAATGCAGGAGAGGGGGCTGTGCCTGTGGCTTAGTGGGTAGGGCACCAGCCCCATATACCGGGGGGGGCGGTTCAAACCCAGCTCCAGCCAAACTGCAACAAAAAAATAGCCGGGCATTGTGATGGGTGCCTGTAGTCCCAGCTACTTGGGAGGCTGAGGCAAGAGAGTCTCCTAAGCCAAGGAGTTGGAGATTGCTGTGAGCTGTGATGCCATGACACTCTACCAAGGGTGACATAGGCTATCTCAAAAAAAAAAAAAAAATGCAGGAGAGATTTCTCTTACTCATTAACAATACTATGAGAAAAAGGTAAGTTTCACTCTACTTGTGTTTATCTAAAGTATCCTTGATATGTATGTACCCTGGAGGTAGAAAAGTGAATATGACATGGTTCTTGTCAGTCTAGTGAGGGAGACTGACAAATATAATTTCTATTTAATGTGTAGAAGCAAATGTAGGATTCCATTTCCTAGTTTCATGCCTTCCTGTTCAGTCAAGAAAATGAAATTGTAGAATTCCTAACATGTTTGAATAATTGAGAAGAGATACAAAGAACTGGTTGAATCTGGTTGAATTAGTGACAGAATATTAAAAATTGAGGAAAAAATTTAAAAGACAGCTGTTGACCCCAGGATTAATAAAATAAATGTCAGGCAGCACTGGCATTTAAAGTGAAGACAGAAGAATCTGTCAAGGAGATCTTGGTCAGAGAGTAGAAAATAGAAGCATCAGAGATGCCAGGGCCATCAGTCAGGAGGCTCCAAGTAACAGGGCATACAAGTTTGTAAGAGCAGAGCTCAGAAATGGAGCAGTTGAGCAGCTCGGTGATGCCACCCAGGCTGCATCTCCTTTCCGTTTGCCCACTGTGCCATTTGTCCATGTTGGCTCTTTTCATCAGTCTTGTCTCCTTATGGTCAACTGTTGGCTTAAGCATCCAAACACTAAAATTCTCATTCAGCTGCACCTAAAGGCAAGAAAAAGGCAGCATTTCTCTTCTGTCTCTTTTTAGCAGAGAAGGAAAACTTTCCCAGAAAACCCCTAGCACACTTCCTCATGGATGCCTTTGACAGGATTAGATTATTTGCCCAGCTGTGGGGAGTCTAGGACAGCAAGTATCAGTTGTTAACAGCTTCTATACTGGGAGGCAGGCTCTGCTCAGCAAGGATGAGTGAGCAGTAGTAGCTGTTACTAGCCTGGCACGCACAGGGTGAAGAGGAAAAGATGCTTTTCTAGAATATATTCTTCTATATTACATAATTATATATATTTATTTATTTATTGTTATTATTTTTTTCTTTTTGTAGTTTTTGGCCGGGGCTGGTTTTGAACTCGCCACCTCTGGCATATGGCGCCAGTGCCCTACTCCTTTAAGCCACAGGTGCTGCCCTGTATAATGATATATTTTTCAGGGAAGGAGTATTTTTAATATTATACTAGGAAGGAAGGAAATTATTATAGGTATTTTCTACAAATAATAAACCTAATATTAAAAGTTCTTTTATAATAAACAGCCTCAGTTTGTACCAAAATTATCAGCCCTATCCTACTCAATTTGAAAACTCAGATCTGGGTTTCAGACAATTAAATGTACAAATTTAACCTTAATTTTCATAGGAAAATGACATTCTGTATATTATAAATATTCAATTTTTTTGAAACATAAGATCCCAGGGAACATATTCCAATATTTTTTGTACTTTGAGTAAATTGTTAGTATCTCATTTGGTGTTTTGTACTGATCAGAATACCTATTTAAAGAAATTTGTAAAAAATTTTGGAGCACATTCATTTTGATATAAGTTGTAGGTATATCTGGTTCTAACTATATGACAAACTAAACTGACTTAGAATACTTTTTGTTACAAATACCTAGATATAATAGCTATTTTTAAAATTATGTTTCACACTCTTAGCTACCTGAAAGAAAGGATAATCTCTGGCTGCTGGTAACCTAAGAGTACATATAGCCAGAACAATAGGTGTTTAAGCCGATACTGTCGTATTTGGAAAAATGAGGGCAAGGATGTAAGGGCTTGAGTTTTAATACTCACACAGGGACGGAGATTAGGTTCTAGTTCTATATGCTTTGGGGAGTAGGAACTACAACTCTTGTTACAAAATTTGAAATTCTGGAGGACTAAACCTTTAGGGAAAGGTGGATTATAAGAATTCTGCCCATTGGCCAAAAGAGACATCAAAGAAACTTACCTCTGTCTGAGGGTCAAAGGAAGAAAAGGATCCTATGAGAAATTTAAACCTGGGTGGTGCCTGTGGCTCAGTGGGTAGGGTGCCGGCCCCATATACCAAGAGTGGCGGGTTCCAATCCAGCCCTGGCCAGCAGCAGTGGCAATTGCAACAAAAAATAGCTGCACATTGCAGTGGGCGCCTGTAGTCCCAGCTACTTGAGAGGCTGAAGCAAGAGAATCATTCAAACCCAAGAGTTGGAAGTTGCTGTGAGCTGTGACGCTACGGCACCCTACTGAGAGCGACAGAGTAAGACTGTCTCAAAAAAAAGGAAAGAGAAGTTTAAACCTTTAGATCTTGTAGTCATAAGGTTTGAGATGAAAATTTATACTCTTTTTTTATTGTTCGATAGTCCCTAAAATAAGAAATTGACATTGTAACTGGTTCTAAAATGGAGCTTAGGTGAACGCGAAATGCTGAGATCCCCTGCTTTCTTCTTCTGAGCAATTCTCAGGATATAGGTTGCAAGATATTCATTTTATGGGTAAGAAATTATAAGAGTCATCCCTGGAGAATCTGATCAGCTAGAGATACTGATATCAAGGCTTTTCCAAGGAAACTTCCTACCTGGGAAATACCATACTCCTCAAGCACCCCCTGTGGAGCTTTCACATAGCTTTTAAAATAAAAACAGCCAAAGAGCATCTAATGTGCCAGACCAAAACTAGTATGTAGGAAAAAAAGCAACGTAGACGGAACAGTGACTGTGAAAGGAAATTAAAAAGCAAAAATAAAACACTCATAACTGTTATTAATATTTTCAAAGGGAAAAGAGAAAATACGTCCATGAAATAAGGTACTACTAACGTATCAGCTGCCACATGAGTTGCATTTAACTCACCTAGTATTGAACCTGGGCTTGCTTTTTTTTGGTGGCAATGTGTTTAAAAAGGAACATATAGGCCGGGCGTCATGATTCAGGCCCGTAATGCTAGCACTCTGGAAGGCCAAGGCAGGTGGATTGCTTGCTCAGGAGTTTGAGACCAACCTGAGCAAGAATGAGACCCCATCTCTAAAAATAGCCAAATATTGTGGTAAGTGCCTGTGGTTCTAACTACTTGAGAACCTGAGGCAAGGGGATCACTTGAGCCCAAGAATTTGAGGTTGCTGTGAGCTTTGATGTCACAGCATACTACAGAGGACAACAAAGTGAAGGGGCATATAAAGAACAAAAAACAACTTCTTGATAGCAGAAAAAGAAAAAGTTGCTAGCAAAAATAACAAATAAAAGTAGAAGAAATCTCTCAGAAAGTAGAGCAAAATGGCAGAAACTTAAAATATGAAAGAAAATATTATGTAAGAACATTAGAGGGCTTATCCAGTAGGTTCATTTTCAAATAATCATCCTAAAAAAGAGAAAACATAGAAAATGGACAAAATAAGTAAAGAAGATTTTCCCAGAACCAAAAGACATGAGTTTCCAGATGGAAAGGATTTCCCAGGTGACCACAACAGTGGATCCAAGTTAAAACATGTCATCGTGGGTATATAAACAATATGGTTTGATAGAAGAAATAAAACCTAGTGTAAGACAGGTCAGTAGATTGACTATAGTTATAATAATCTATTGTACATATCAAAATAGCTAGAAGGGAATAATTCAGATGTTTCTAGCGTAAAGAAGAGACATATTTAAAGTGATGAACATCCCAAGTACACTGATTTGACATTTATAAATTGTATGTACCCTGAAACTATGTGCACTTATGCATCATTAAAAAATAACTTAAAAATACAAATATTCCTGGAATTTTATAATAGGAGAAAGAGAAGAATCTACCAGTTTCCAGAGAGAACAAAACCAACATACTTTATACTATAGATCAGGAATCATAATGAGCTTGGATACTTATACACAAAGCCAGAAGATAGTGAAACAATACTTGTACATTTTTGAAGGAAAATTATTTTCAACGTAGAGTTCTGTATCCAGCCAGATTTTATCAGTTAGAAGTGATGGTTAGGGCGTTTTTAGCCATGGAGACTCAAAAAATTATCTCTTATAAACCTTTTTTTGGGAAGCTACTGCTGAATGTATTCTTATGAAATGAGGAAGTGGATGACAAAGGGGAAAATATGACACTAGGAAATTGGACGTAAATAGGAGATCCAAGTAGAAAGAGAGGTGAAAGAAATCCCCAAGTTAGTGGGTGAGAAAAATCCAAGGTAGCAGCTCTAAATTAGACCTCATTAATTGAAAATGAGCTCAAACTTTAACACATTAGAAGCCTTTGGGAGCATGAAAATAAAATTGATAAAATTCCTGTTACGTTAGTATTAACTGTGGAGAGAAGAATGGGGTTGAATTAGAGATCAGTACATTGAAAACTAAGCAATTTTTTTAAAAAGGCATGTATTAAAGTAAGTAGGAAAGGAAATATACATTACATGGCTTAGTTGGGAATAGCTTTTACAAAGTCATAGTAATTGAATTAAGTAAAAAATTTAAAAAAGATTTTAGTCTGGGCTGATGGTCTTCTGTTATCTGAGCTGAAAAGTCTTCTGAGATGTTTGTAATAACATAAAACTACTTTGGAAGGACACTTCCACATCTCAGACTACTTTGGGGTTCCATTAGAAAAGTATAAAAACAATCACCAAAACCAATCCACTAAATAAAATTTTCAAACCAAAAAAGTCCTGTTGAAATGAATTTATAATTACAAAATACACATTTTTAGTTGAGATACAGATAATATATACTAAACATTAACTCAGACATGACTATGTTGTTTTGTCTTCATAGTCTATAACTAATGCCTGATATTGATAAAGCACATAGACTGCTTGTAATAGTGAAATTTATTTTCTAATTTAGAAAGGACAAATTTTACTTACTGTAAGCAGTTCATTTCTACTAATGCAAAGTACCAGTATTTTAAAGTTATTTCTTACAAGGGGCAAATCTAATTTTATTTTCTGATATTTTAATTTTTTTAACAGAGTAAAAAGAAATTTGAAAGAGAATGTAGAGAGGCAGAAAAGGCGCAACAGAGTTACGAAAGATTGGATAATGATACTAATGCAACTAAGGCAGATGTTGAAAAGGTAAGAAATACTGCAGACCAACTTGGATAACAAAATACTATTACTTCTATATGGAAAGGAGTGGTACATTTGTGTCACTATTAGGATTTAAGAGATTTGTAAGTGCCTTTTCTCTTTTGATTACAAGCATACTGTTTTAAGCTATAATGCTATTGTTCATTTTTAACCTGGATTTTATAAAGAGAGACTTTATTTGAACAGATTATGGATATGGGAGAGTATTATAATGAGGGAGGAAGAATATGGCAATAAGGGGACCACTTTGACCATAGATCTCCAAGTGTCTTCTTAAATTTAGATAATATAATAGTTTGAAAAGGGCAGGCCACTTCTTATTCTCTTGACATGAGGTATTAACTTCTCCATTGATAAGATCTAGTTTTAGTATAATTTTAGGACAATGAATTGCTGTGATTTTATTTTTGTTCTTGGTAATGATTTGGACCAATTTGTCTCTAGGCCAAACAGCAGTTGAATCTGCGTACACATATGGCCGATGAGAACAAAAACGAGTATGCTGCACAGTTACAAAACTTTAATGGAGAGCAGCACAAACATTTCTATGTCGTGATTCCTCAGATTTACAAGGTAAGTTTTAGATATTTGAATTTAATCTGGTTTTAGAATTGAAAGAACTAGCCTTTAAATGTAGCAGTTAACTTAAATCTTAAACATCAGAATCTTTCTAGATTCACTAGTTGTCAAGATTGGCAGTAAGATTTTTCTGCTTATAGATTTGAAAGGCATACTTTTCTAACTTTTAAATCACAAATTCATACACATTTATTATTAGTGTTATAAGCAGTATACTAAAACAATGACATTTTTGAGATAAATTTAAACACTATATCATTAAGTATTTTGATATGACAAGAGGAATTCATTAAAATTATATATTGTAATCTGTTTACTTAGAATTGGAATGTAGCTTTTTGATACCAAACCAGAATTCAGAAATAAATCTTATAAAATGTTTGTTAGCCTGATTTTTTTCTGCTTACCTTGCTGACTCTATTAGATCATAAATATAATTCAGGCCATGAGCTTGCTTATAAATCCTGTTTATCATCATTTGATGATAACAGTTGCCAGACAGCCTCAGGTAAAGACCCTAGAATTTACATGAGGATTAAATTATGTTACTCCCTTTTTTTTTAAAAAAAGAAAGAAAGGAAATTAGAGAAAAAGAATTTAGTAAAGCAGCGTTGAATGAAATAGTACCTGAGAGCAGAGCTTATGTGGAAAGAATGTTAGTCCAAGTATTCTTTTTTCTTCTTTGTACAGTACATTAGAGGTATTTTATTGAGAGTTGGTGGACCAGAGTCTGTATCAGATTCTGGTCATTTAATCCAGAGAGTCAGGCCTGTCGGTCCTTACTCTTTGGTGTTTTTCTAGGCTCACCAGCTAAGTCTTCCTATTTTGGGGAGCCTGAGTTAGGAGCTCAGCTACTGTTTGTGCTTTGGGGCCTGATAACTGTGTTTGGACATTTTTATGGAGCAGTCTTGCCATTATGTGATGCTGGGAGCAGTTCCTTTGTAAAAAATGCAGATCTTAAAATAAACTCTCCTGGCTCAGCTCCCATAGCACATTGGTTACGACGCCAGCCACATACACCGAGGCTGGCGGGTTTAAACCTGGCCCCGGCCAGCTCAACAACAATGATAACTGTAACAAAAAATAGCTGGGTGTTGTGGTGGGTACCTGTATCCCAGCTCCTTGGGAGGCTGAGGCAAGAGAATTGCTTACACCCAGGAGTCTGAGGTTGCTGTGAGCTGTGACAATATGGCACTCTACTGAGGGCCACAGAGTGAGACTCTGTGTCCTCCCCCTACCCCCCCCCCCAAATAAATAAACTCTCCTGCTTTGGGAAGTAGAAAAGTGGTGTAAAGCTATGGGAGTCTGGGGACTCGAGCTGCATAGCTGCTTCCTAGGAAAGAGAAAGGCTAATATTGGCAAATAAGAGGTGTCAGAAATGCCTTTAAGTAAATCTGACTTCATGTGGTCCACTGTATTTCCTAGTGGCATGTAGGGATTCTGTATACATGCCACTTGGACCTTGTGGCTTCTGTTTTTTCCTTTTGTGTTCTTGATTCTAGAGTTGTAGACTACTAGGCCTGGTACCTGTTATTGAGCAGTCAACTGTAGACTCTTGCTTCAGCAGTCTTCTAAAGCACTCTGAACTGATGTATGGGGCCAGAAGTCTCAGACTTGCATATGTTAGAGGCCAATTGCTTAAACAAAATGGGTGCTGGAATTTTGTCTTCAACTGAAATTTTTCTTGGCAGCATAAACAAGAACTGTTCAAGTTGAAGGTAAAAGGTAGAGGTCAGGCTGTGGTGGCTCACGGCTAATCCTAGCACTCTGAGGCTGAGGCAAGAAGACCCCTTGAGCTCAGGAGTTCGAGATCAGCCTGAGCATGAGTAAGACCCTGTCTCTACTAAAAATAGAAAAATTAGCTGGGTGTCATGGTGGGTGCCTGGAGTCTTAGGTACTTGAGAGGCTGAGACAAGAAGTTTGCTTGAACCCGGGAGTTTGAGATGCTATGAGGTAGGCTGACGCCATGGCACTGTAGCCTGGAGCAACAGAGTGAGACTCTGTCTCAAAGAAAGAATAAAAGAATAAAGGTAGGGAGTGGTATGGGACACAGCTGGTAACCAGTAAGGGGTTATTTTATTTTTTCATTTCGTTTATTTTTTTGAGACCAAGTCATGTTCTGTTGCTCATGCTGTAGTGCAGTGGCATGATCTTAGATCACTGTAACCTTAAACTCCTGAGCTTTCTTCAGCCTCCTCTGAGTTGCTAGGACTATAGGCATTCACCACCATGCCCATCTCATTTCTTATCTTTCTATAGAGTGCTTTGTTGCCTTGGCTCGTCTTAAACTCCTAGCATTTCAAAGCATTAGGATTACAGGTATGGGCCACTGCAGCTCAAGGGTCCTTTTAGAAGGCCAGAACACCAGTGTCATCTGGTTTTAGGATGGTAATAAAAGGCTTGATGTGTTTTTTGTTTTTTCTTTTCTGCTAGGCAAACCTCACGTTCTAAGTATTGTTAATCAGTAACACTTGGGAAAAGGTATTAACAATAACACTGTAACTATTAGGATAGAAATCTTCAATTAATTTTGGGGGGGATCACTGATTTTGTTAGAATGATCAGAAAATTGTTTTCCTTTTTTTTTAAATTCCTAATTATTAGCAACTACAAGAAATGGATGAACGAAGGACTCTTAAACTCAGTGAGTGTTACAGAGGCTTTGCAGACTCAGAACGCAAAGTTATTCCTATCATTTCAAAGTGTTTGGAAGGAATGATTCTTGCAGCAAAATCAGTTGATGAACGGAGAGTAAGTGCTATGTAATATCTTTGAATAAATCTATATGGTTTAGATGTGCAGCTTAAGTTAGTGAAATGAGTTGGGAAAGGGGTAATCTGATGTGTAATTGGTTCTAAGACTGTAGAAGGAAGTCTTACAATACTGTTAGATTCCTTTGGGGTCTTAGCAACCATTCTAAATGCTAAAATTCTGTTTCTTTGAAAAAAAAGATTTCTAACTCTTTCTCCCACTAACTTTTCATTTTTGACCCAAGAGTATAAAGACCTGTGAACTGAGTGTCAAATTGTGTTATATGAGTCTTGTGAAAGTCAGAGAAGAAACACAGACGGATCTAGGGCTGTCAGAGCTGCCTTTAATGCAGGGTCCGCAGTTGTGCCAGATCAGGAAACAGGAGAAGCTGTGCAGGGGAGAGGAGGAAGGGCAGAGAAAACAGCATAATCCTCCTCCCCTGGAGGAGTTACATCTCATCACATTGTATCTTGATTAAGGGGTAGCAGAATCATGTATCTGTCCGATCATTTCTCAGTAAATGTGGAGTGATCAGAGAGCATGGTTGGCAGGGACTGAGGACATGGTTGAAGAGCAAGAGAAGAGACCTGGTGTTTGGGGAGTGGACTGTGCACCACATGTTCTAGTCTCCACAGAAAGCCTCTGCAATAGATGTTATGGTATTGTAACTAAAAGATTCTTACTTAAATTTAGAAAGGAAAAGAGAATTTTTGGCTTCTTTAATTAGGACTTGCAAAAGGGCATTTAATATTCAGCATGGCTGTATCCGTTGTACATGGTTGTGCAATGTAGTTGAGTTCGTCCTCTTTTCTCCCTCTTCTTATCTTTTAGCAAATCATTGCTGAGGGTAGCACTAGTGACAAAAATAAGTATGACTTTTGACTAAGGTGGGCAAAATGTGCTATTAACAGAAATAGGGAATAAGAAGAGAGGTGGTTAAGAGTGGGGAGGAGTGTGTGGAAATGAAGTATTCCATTTGAAAATGATGAGTTTAACATGTCAGTAAAACATTTAGAGGTATTATGTCTAAAAGCAATATATTGCAATACTTATGTGAGTTTTAAATTTTTAGGTAAATCATACTGAATTTTGTATTTTCATACTTTCATGCTTTTTATACTTAATATTGTTTGCGAACTCTTTCCTTTTTGCTGTCTGTTAACACTGGGTGGCATGTATTTAAAATGTTTTATTTATCTTTTTTCCTGTTGGATGAAAGAAAGCCGTTCTACTTCATCTCTTACTCTCTTTTATGATTAGAAGCTTTTTCCTTGGTCTGCACATCAACTTCTTTGTAGACATCCCTTAAAGCAAAACACCTTTTACCTTTGAAACTTCTCAGAATTTGTACTTGATAATAATCTCGTTCTGTATTCCTTTTATCAGTTAAGTCTTTCTTATCAGCTAACTAGTCTTCAGATAAATTTCGGGGGGTTGAATCAATAAGCAAAAACATTTCATGACCATTATAAATTAAGTGGTAATTTTTAAGTTATTCTGGGATTAAAATACTTAGGGTTTATTACAAGTTCACAGTAAGAAATTAATCACTTTAAACCTTAAATGATTACTGTAGAATTATTTCTTTAACTTGTTTCCTTGTATTGATTAAAGTTTTGAAAGCTAATGTAGCATTATGAGCAAATGATATGGCTTTAAAAACTTGTGTTTCTTGTGTATAGGACTCTCAAATGGTGGTAGACTCCTTCAAGTCTGGTTTTGAACCCCCAGGAGACTTTCCATTTGAAGATTACAGTCAGCACATATATAGAACCATTTCTGATGGAACTATCAGTGCATCCAAACAGGAGAGTGGGAAAGTGGATGCCAAAACCACAGTAGGAAAAGCCAAGGGCAAATTGTGGCTCTTTGGAAAGAAGCCAAAGGTAAAAGTCGTAAAATTCTTATATGCTAATTAATTTTTCAGTATATCAATTAAATTAATGTAGGTATTGAATAGATAATGACTTACTATTAATGGAGAATAAGTATTTTCAATTTTAATGATTCCACCAACCTTTCACTTATTAGGAAACAGTTTTATTCTTTAATAGTAAAAATTATTTCTGGATTTAACATTTGACCACTGCTTAAGAATAAGGATATTAATTTAATTGTAAATATTTAGTTAAATATATGCTTTTGAAAATCTGTTTTATATGTAGTTTCCATCAGAATTTCTAAAGGGAAATGACCTAACCAAAAGACCCCTGAAATTGCAGTTCTCTATTGGAATGAATGGCACAGCAATAATAAATACTTAATAGATCATACTACTGAAATTAATTTTATCATTCAAAGGACTTTTTATTGGTAATGGCTCAATGTTTTTGGCTAATTGAAATTTTAAAAATATCTAGTTTGCTAAGAGAATCTCAGCTCTTGTTGGAACTCAACTTTTGATGTACTCTTCTTATTTTAAATAGATAAATTTAGCTTAGCAAGTAAGCAGATGGAGTTGATGAATGCTTTGTCTTTCTTATCAATTAAGTGATTATTATAGCGTCATCAGTAAGGCAAATAGATACTTTTAAAATCTGTGCTATATTAAAGTGTATGTGATTATTTTAATTTTTTTTTATCTTGCCATATGAGTGTGGATAAAATTAAAATTTAACTAAAATTATAATTTATCTGTAAGTATCTTTAAAAGCACAACTGTAAGTTAACTCATGCTTTGTTCATATTAAAAATGATACTGTCCAGTCAAGAAGTTGAGAGGTGAGACCTTTTCTAGTCAGATTAGAGCTTGGGAATACTGAAATTTTAAAAAGAAGAAAAGAGGTGAAATTAAGGGTGAAGTCTAAAGTCTGAGAGGAGAGCTATGAATGTAGTGAAAATTTTTTGCCTATCTTTGGTAATCATCAGTTACGATTTTCGTGTTTTATGTGTGACATGACCTATGGAGATAACTCTTGCTGTAGCTGCTGTCTTTTATCTCTTGACAAGTACGTTTCAAATAAAACTAAGTAGGAATCCATGGTGGTGCTGATATTGTAGAAATCAGAAGAGAATTTTTTTATCTACATCATATTGCTTTCTCTATAATTTATGTACTTTATTTTCAATCTATCAGTTTATAAAAAAGTGATCAAGTGAAATGGTACATTTTAAAAAGTAAATTTGATTTTAAAAATGATAGTGTTTGGCAAAACTATGTTTAATTTCTTATATTTTTATAGAAAACTTTGAGATATATTTTGTGAAAAGTATGTTGCCAAAAATATAATTTTCGTTTAGGAAAAAACTATGCACATTTGGCTTATTGATTCCTTTCTTTATTTCCATATTAGCCACAGTCCCCACCCTTAACCCCTACTAGTTTATTCACATCCAGTACTCCTAATGGGTCCCAGTTTCTCACATTCTCCATTGAGCCCGTGCATTATTGTATGAATGAAATAAAAACAGGGAAGCCCAGAATTCCTTCTTTCAGAAGCCTCAAAAGAGGGGTAAGTTTAATAATGGGTGAAAATGCATGATGGCCTATTGTGTGTGTAGTGTGGCTTTTAATACTCTCCACCCTCATTATAAGGCTCTCTCCTAAATATATAGTTTAAAAACACCACAGAATTAAGTATAGCTGCCCTCAAGTTAAAAACAACTCCTCTTTATAACATTTGATATGCTCAACCATAAAAGAATGGTATTATAAAGAGGGTGTTGGGTAAAATCATATTTTAGCAATTTTTTTTGTTTATGTGAAATCATATGTTCACCATTGTCTTGTAATGTATTTACATTTTTAAGACTTTCAGTAATTTGTCACTGGAGTTACTTTTGTAATAATTTGTCGCTAAAGCTGACTTCACTTGCCAATTTTGTAAAATATTATTTTATTGACAATAAAATGCCAAGCTCAATTTTAATCGCCCTGTTTAACTTTTAAAGGGTGAAGCACAATTTCTAATATTTAAAAAATTAAAGATAGGCATGTTAAATATCAAGATTGTAGATCAAATAAAAGAATATATTAGAAGGTATTTTGTAAGTTGTAAAGCATATAAAAATTAAGTATTACTGAGTAACATTTACATGGGAATTTGTTTTCTTAAACTAAAGAAAAGCTATATTTTACCAGAATTTGCCCTTTCCTTTTTTTTTAAATTGGCTAATTTTGGCGTTTACTCATTCCTAAGAATACGCTGCAAATGAAAATTTATAGAATAGTAAATAGAAAATACTAAACTTTGTTAGCAACAACTATTATATTACTGATAAATAAATTAGTGTTATTTCCCTTATGTTAGTAGTAAGGCTAGTTTGATTTTAAGGATTTTTTTTTTTTTTTTAAGAAGAAAAAGTTTTGCTCTGTTGCTCAGACTATAGTGGTACGAACATAGTTCATTGCAGCCTTGAACTCCTGGGCTGAAGTGATCCTCCCACCTCAGCCTCCCGAGTAGCCAGTACTATAGGTGTGCATCACTACACCTGGCTAACCTTTTAAAAAATCATTTTTATAGGCAGGTCTTGCTTTATTGCCCAGCTGGCTTAAATAATCCCCCTGCCTTGGGCTCCCAAAGTGCTGGGATTATGGTCTTGAACCACTCATTGTGCTTGGCTGAGGGTGTGCTTTTAATATTTATAGCCTATAATTTAGCTTTATTTATAAGATTTTTTTGAACATTTGAAAAACTTGATTTTAAAAATGTGTGCTAACTCTTAGTTGAGGAATCAGTCTGTCAGTGTCCAAAGAAGTCTAATCAACAACAATAATGCTAAGTTGGGATTCTTTTCCTCATTTCCTTCTTTCTCTTCCCCTCTCTGTTCTTCCTTTCTGTAGTCTTTAATGTCTTCAAATTGCATTTTGGCTTCTTGTAGAATAAGAGATACTAGTTTAGGGCAAGATTACATTATTCATATACATAAAATAAACTTAATTGATGTCAGTGATGGAGCAAAAATGTTCTAGTCTTTGTCTTTTTTTTTTCTCCAGTGATGTGAACCTTGCTTAATTCTACTTGCAGATGATTAATGACATTTTGAAAAGCCCCTGTGGGCAAGTCTGTTAGACCCATAGGCATGCCTATAATCACTTCTTAAACCCCTTAACCCTTACTTGAAAGACTTTAAGAAATCATATTTGTGATTTCTATTGCCTCAATTACAAGGGTGGAGTTAATTCCCCTGTTGTTTCCCTATGGAGATTTAGACCACATATCATGATTTAGACCAAATATCATGTTGTTGCATAAATAAAGAGAAATTACTATTTAGTAGCCATTTTTGCAGTCTTTTGTGTATCCTGCATATTGAGTCTATGAAACCTAAAAATATGAAGAAAGCCTTTTTTACAGAAGACTTAGGCAGTGGGAACTGTGAGCCCTGGAGAGAGAAGCGTAAAATATGTGATACCTGTATTCCTATTGAGTAAATTTAGGGGAAGAACTTTACAAGTGTAAAACTTAAAACCATTTGCTTAATCATTCTTTGTTTTTCACAGATTGCTTTAATTTTAAATACTCGTATGTTACTTTTACGTGAACCTAATTTTATAAGATAGAAATCCCCTTCCAATTTTATTTTTAGTTACCACTCTAAAGAATAAGCAAATGTCGAGTGGCGCCTGTCATTCAGTGAGTAGGTCACCAGCCCCATATACCGAGGGTGGCAGGTTTGAATCTGGCCTGGCCAAACTACAACAACAACAAAAAAATAGCTGGGTATTGTGGTGGGTGCCTGTAGTCCCAGCTACTCGGGAGGCGGAGATAAGAGAATCGCCTAAACCTAAGAGCTGGAGGTTGCTGTGAGCTGTGATGCCATCTGCCATCTTACTCTACCAAGGGTGACAAAGTGAAACTCTGTCTCTTAAAAAAAAAAAAAAAAAAGAATAAGCAGTGTGCAAGATAGAAACTATGACAAATAAACGAACCGAGTTTAGAGGATAGGGCAGCAGGAAAGTATCTTGCAACCTTGGGGTTGAGAAATTTCTTTCTGTTTTGATTGGCATTTGGAAGTTCACTGGATAATATTTTGAAATTACCTTCCACTTAAGAATTTTTTCAATGTAGACAGAAAGAAGGTAATCTTTAATAAACAAGTTTGTGTGTTTTTTTATATGGGTTTCTGTGGGTTTTCAGTCCATTAAGTTGTACCCTTCAATTCAGAAACTCTTCTTTTCACCTTATCTGAGGTGACAAGGTCTCTTATTTCCTTCTGAGACATCAGGTGCATGTGGTTAATGGAAACTTGGGGGTACACCCAAACTAAACTATTCAATATACGCACTAATGTTTTTTACTCTATAACACTTTATTTGAGGCTAATATTTCTTTTTTTTAAACATGTAGCAATGACTTCATGTTTTCTGACTTTATAAACTTCCAGTCATTTTTCTAAGCTTTTATCTCTCCAGAGTACAGTTCTCACAGGAATTTGGCCTATCTTAAAATGAAATGCGCTTAGTAATTTTAATTGCCAAACTTATTTTCTTTTTAGCTCTCTTTTGTATTTATTAACTATAGTGAGTGTGTAAAATTTTCTGGTTTGTAGGCATGTGATAAATATGCAAGAGTAAGGAACTTTTGTTATGAACAAAATTACTTTCAAAAGTACACAGAATATATTTCTTCTATCTTTTACCAAGAACTTATGTTTTGTATATCCTAAAATCTAAGGTTAATGAGCTGTTAAGTTTATTTTCTAATTGATGATTTGTAATAAAACCAGATTAATTAAAAACTGAAACTATAGCTGATATTTTAGTTATAATTATCTTAAAATTTTTCTCTAAAAGATACTAATATAGAAATTATAAAATTATTTGCATCTTAGAAATTTTACTGGTGAAAATTTATCATAAAAGATAAGTCAAATTTAAATAGTTTAAATAATTTTGTTCCTTGTCCTGTATATAAAGTTGTTTAATTACATTTAAAGACTAGAATATTTTTCTTTAATTTAAACTTTGTTATTTCTTTACCAAGAGCAAATAAATTATAGCTTTAGCTTTTTGAAACTACTGATAGTCTAAAGAATGTTAAGCTTAATTTGAAAAGATAATGGATAGCAAATGTCATCCTTTCTTGTCATAACCATTAATATATATGACCAACTCATGAAGAGATAAGGGGTAGATATTTTTGTCAGATATTTATTAAAATTTATTCACATTTTTATATGAAATTCTACCTGATATCTCCCCACCAGCATTTCTCAAAACATCATGATTTAGAAAACAGGGAAAAATACAAATTTTAGAAGTTGGCTTGGTGCCCATAGCTCAGTGAGTAGGGCACCAGCCACATACACTGAGGCTGGTGGGTTTGAGCCTGGACTGGGCCTGCTAAACAGCAATGACAACTGCAACCAAAAAATAGCCAGGTGTTGTGGTGGGCACCTGTAGTCCCAGCTGCTTGGGAGGCTGAGGCAAGAGAATCAATCACTTAAGCCCAAGAGTTGGAGGTTGCTGTGAGCTGCTATGCCACAGCATTCTACCAAGGGTTGCATAATGAAAAAAAAAATTTTTTTTTCAGAAGTAGTTAACTAATTGCAGTGAATGTGAAGATTAATTTTGTAAAGTGTTGCATATTCTGGATCACTGTGCGTGTGTTTAGTTGGGATGCTAGATGGATGCCATGCCAGTTGCAGAATTCTACTAACCCACAGAATGTAGGACACGTGGATGTGTGTGTGTGTGTGTGTGTGTGTGTGTGGTATTTATATAGGAAATACATATGAGAAACTTGAATCTGGCTAACGCATTACTTTGATAATGTGTTTTTATTGTATCTGTATTTTAAAAAAACTGAAGTAAAAATGTTACCCCCTTAGTTATACCTAATCGTGATATATTTAAATTCAAAACAGTATTTTGAACTACACAAGTGCAGATAATTTTGTTTCCTTTAATGCCTTCGGAGGAGTAATTAATTTTTTGATATTTCTTTTAAATAAGATTTTTTTATATTCAGCTTTTCAAATATTAGTGTTTTGAGAATGAAGAGCTACATAAATGAAATCTACTTATATTAAAATTCTCTTTAAAAGAAAATGCATGATTACTGATAGAATGATCACTATTTACTTTTAAGTTTTAATCTTAGAAAATATCTGCCCATTATCATCTATGTATGCTTTTTTGGCAAGTAGTTTACTTTCCTAAAATGTGCTTAGAATTGTTTTGGGGGCATAATTGTTTGGATTTTCAAATGTATATGATTTCTTTTAATATTATAGAAACATATAGGTTATTGCATCTTTTGTATTATGGTTTCATGCAAATAATTTACCATTTCTTTCTGTTTTCCATTGAACTATTCAGTGGTCGGTGAAGATGGTAAGCGTTATGTGCTGATCTATATACTGTGCAAACATTAAGTAATCTCAAAACATTGTTTTGTTTGATTCAAAACAAGTGATAAAGTACATCTCACATTTTCGCCTTGTGTGTGTTTTTTCTTTTATAATTTAATCCATAGTCCAGCGCATATAGTAATACTTCTCGATGTTGTAAGATGAGAAAATAATGTGGTTAACTGTCATCAGCCCATTAAGTTCTTAAATGTTCTTGGATGGAGTCCTTGTCATGTTGCAGGGGAATATAAAATTATGGTTAAACATTATTTTAAAAGTTACATTGTAGACCAGAAGTTCATTTTTATACAGAAGAAAATTTTGCAAAAATTATTTTTTAACACCCTTAGAAAAGATTGTATAAATTTGATCTGTTGCTTATCATAAGAATCATTAGATTTTTCCTAAAAGAAAGAAAACTTTTCTTTTAGTGTCATTATGGAATTAGTGCTCTCTGTTCTTCTTTACTATTGAAAGGAAATAGGAAGCACAAATAATCTAAATTGTGTGTGAGAGAGAGAGAGAGTGTGTGTGTGTGTATGATGTTCCTTTGTTCATTTATTTCAAACAATTAATGAAGCTACATTATGAAGAACTAGCCATAAATTATCATATAAGCTATACAAAATAGCTTTTGGAAAATAGACCACTTTTTTATAGCCTGTTGCAATCGGCCTTTTATAAATTCCTTTGAAGTAAGAGAGGTTGTAAAATGTCTCAAAAGACTTTTTAACATCCCTAGGAAATAGAATGGGTTTAGTTCTCATGTTCTGGGAATAGTTTCTACTGTCAAATGGGATATTAGAATTTCAAGTGCTTAGGTATTTATTGTTCATAAATTTGAGAACAAATTTTGGTTAGGGATAAGTGGAATTCCGGCACATTTATATTTAGGTAATTGTGAGTGTGCTACAAAAAACCCCACACTGCATTGAAATGTATTTCTTTAGTTGATTAAGTAATTTTCAAGATTTTTAGAAATATTTTTGAAAATATAAATAGAAAATTTACCTTTGGTAGATACACAATATTTTCAAAACCTGTACTCTAGATTAAATCCGACAGTTTATGTTGATTTTGTCATTGATTTATTTAGGTCAGATTTGGGCAATTGGCCTTGTTTCTGGTGACAGACAGAAGTAAGAACAAAAGCCACTTAGGACGCCCTACTTTTTGTAGCCAATCTTGTTGAATGTCCATAGTGTGCAGACCACTGGGGAAAGATTCTGGGGATTCTGTTAGAATGCTGCGTTTGATCATGGCTCATCCTAACAATGAGCGATCTCTTTTTTTAAGTAAGTGAAGCATTCCTGTAGATAGTGAAATAAGCTGTTTAGCATATGGCTATAGACGTAAATTCCTGAAGAGCAAGAATGCATTTGTTTGGAGAGCTCATTTTACCATCACTTTAAAAAATTGAATCATGTTCGTATTATTAAAATAACCGTTTCGAAAGAAAAATGATGATAGGCACTGTCAATTTTTAGAGTAAAGATAAGTTAAATGTAGGTTTATATTAAATGCATTCAATAGCTGCTAATACTGGTTCTTTTGTGTAATCTCTAATAACATAGCTAAAGTACAGTGGTTAACATTTAAGAAGAAGAAGATATCATTTGAATCAGAAATTAGTATCTAAATATTAGCACTCTTTCTTAAATTGCAGAGTTTCCTGATTATCAAAGCATTACAAATACTACAAAAACCAAGCATCTGTTTTAAAGAAAGATTAGATCTTTCAGGAATAACAGAGGCGTGTTATTTGGTTTTACAGAAGAAGTAGAATTTATACTTGTAATTTATAGAAGAGGAAAAATTTCAATTAAAGATATACTTGTTGGCTTGTATACCCATAGCTTAGTGGTTAGGGTGTCAGCCACATACACTGGGGCTGGCAGGTTTAAACCTGGCCCGGGCCTGCTAAACAACAATGACAACTACAGCAAGAAGAACAAAATAGCCGGGTGTTGTGGTGGGCGCCTGTAGTCCCAGCTACTTGGGAGGCTGAGGCAAGGGACTCACTTAAGCCCAAGAGTTTGGGGTTGCTGTGAGCTGTGATGTTACGGCACTCTACAGAGGGCGACATAGTGAAACTCTGTCTCAAAAAATATATATATATGTATATATATTTGTTGAAATATAATTTCCAATAAGCAAACAGTTCAACTTTTGATTTTTAATGATCAGGTATTTTTTTGATTCTGAGAAATGATTTAATAAATGTACTAATTCAAAGACTATATACATATTGTCTATATAAAGTATATTTCATTAATTGTCTGTATAAGGTAAGTTGCTTATTTAACCCAGTTATGTTCCTATTTTTAGTTTGAGCATTTGTAACATTCTGAATATCATGGCAATGAGTTTGATTTGGGAATGTGGTAGTATGTTTTATATAAAACAATAATTTGTATAGACAAGAAATGTTATGTGTTTCCATTTTGTTGTGGTTGCCGTAAGAAGGTTTATATGTATTCATTTTTACTCTGCTAAGACTGGAAAGTAATGTGATACTGGTCATTACCAATTATCTGTATCTGGTGATATTTTTACCTGTTTTGTTTCATGATTTTATAAAATGATTGAAATGTGAGCTCTTCAATAGTTGTTTTTATGTATACATAAACACATCTGTGTATATTTCTTTTTCTTAAAGGGGTTGCTTGAGGCAAATTTGAAATTAAACTTGGTAATATATTCTTACTTTATGGCAGGTACAGTTTAAAAATAAAATTTCCCAAAAATGTCTTGTATAATGATTTGGATCTCTTTTCAGGGCCCAGCACTAGAAGATTTCAGTCATCTGCCACCAGAACAGAGACGTAAAAAACTACAGCAGCGCATTGATGAACTTAACAGAGAACTACAAAAGGAATCAGACCAAAAGTATTTTTCTTTTAAGTCTCTGTATCATTATTATTTCTTTCAGCTTTTACTTTGAATGGTGCACTTAAAATGTGATGCATAGAAAATTTAGAAACCATGTATCCTGATCGAAATATCTTTTGAGAGAAAAACTCTTAAAACTGGAAAATTTTATGATAGCCATGTCATAGAGAATTTCTTTTCTTTCTTTTTTTTTTTTTTTTTTTTTTTGAGAGAGAGCCTCAAGCTGTCTCCCTGGGCAGAGTGCCGTAGCATCACAGCTCACAGCAACCTCCAACTCCTGGGCTCAAGTGAGTCTCCTGCCTCCGCCTCCCAAGTAACTGGGACCACAGGCACCTGCCACAACGCCCGACTATTTTTTGGTTGCAGCCATCATTGTTGTTTGGCGGGCCTGGCTTGGATTCGAACCTGCCACCTTAGGTGTATGTGGCTGGTGCCTTAGCCGCTTGAGCCACAGGCACTGAGCCGTCATAGAGAATTTCTTTGCAGATTTTTAGTATACATATAGTGATGATTTCCATAAATTAAAAAAAATTGCTTGATGATTCATTATCAAGAGTAGTTTCTGACTGGGTATGGTGGCTTATGCCTATAATCCCAGCATTTTGGGAGGATGAGTCTTGAGCCTTGAATCCAGGGGTTTGAGACTAGCCTAGACAACGTAACAAGACCCTGACTCTACTAAAAATTAAAATTAGAAAGAAAAGAGTAGTTTCACCAACACTAACCACTTCTAAGCATATTTTCACTTTGTTTTTATGTATAAATTGAGTTCAATAGAAACCTGAGGCTGTAATTATTTTGTTTGCAGTCAGACATGTTGGCAAATAGTGCCCTATTATTTACAGCTTCATATTTGTTTGTGAATAGCTTTAATTTTTCAAAAAAGGTTCCTTTAGATCAATTTTAAAATAGACACAGACTTATTTATGATGAATAGAGAGTTATCATTGGGGCATAGTAGTTCACACCTGTAATCTGAGCACTCTGGGAGGCCAAGGGGGTAGGATCACTTGAGGTCAGGAGTTCAAGACCAGCCTGAGCAAAGTCAGACCCCATCTGTACTTAAAAAAATAAAATGGAAAAATTATCCAGATGTGGTGGCTCGTACCTTTGGACCTAGCTACTTGAGAGGTAGAGGCAGGAGGATTGCTTGAGCCTAGGAGTTTGAGGTTGCTGTGCCAGACGGATGCCATGGCACTCTAGCCCTGTTCTCCTCCTCCCTCCAAAAAGAATAAAGAATTATTATAATGGGTTAGTGACTTAATCCACACTGAAGATAAAATTGGACTTAATATTTTAACATGTGAGTTTGAAGTTTTGATGTTAATAAGAATTGTATATCAGGTATGGTGTGCTTAATCATAGATGAAATATTACAATACAATTGAGTCTTGTTATTAACGGTACTATGTAATGTAAAATCACTGTGAACACTGAATTATCAAATACAGAACCATTGCTTCTAGGGGAAATACAGATTTAGGCTCTAAGTAGCCACTGTCACAATATTTTCATCAGCTGATCACTGTAGAACCTTGTTTTATGTGTGTTTTGTTTAAAGATACTTTATGTAATTTAAATTGTTGATTTGTTAATTTTGAACTCTGCCCTGACAGCACTGTAACTCATGTTTGAACGAAGCTTATCTAACACATATTTTCTCCACAAGTAACATTTATAGCCTTTTGTTGGGAACACCAGAAAGCACAATTCAGCACTGTGCTTAGGGGCTATTTTAAGCACCAAGATGACCCATAGAAAGTGTAAAAATTTGAAAAACATGACACTAAGTAACTAAATTATAAAAAGACACTTTTGTTCAGAATATGAGAGAGCAAACATGAAGGCCAGAATATCACGTTGTTTACCTCAGTTAGACTAGTTAGAGGACTTTATAACAATCTAGGTGAAAGATGTTGAGGGCCTAAATTAAGGGATGGTCATGAGACCAGACAGGAGAAGTAGATAAAAGTCACTTCAAAGCAGAGGAGGTTGGTCTTTTCATCTGATTAGATACCTGAGAAGAGAAAAATGAAGGCGGTTTAAAAGAAAAAAGACTTGAAGCTCAGGAGAGTAGCTATAGAATTAACTGAAACAAGAAGAAAAAGTAAATTTGGGGCAAAGATAAGTGTTTTGTTTGTGCTGATTTTTTAAATATGTGAAAAATCCATCCTGGAAGGGTCCAATTTGGTTTGGAAATACAAATCTAGAACTTGGGAGAGAAAGAGGACTAGAGATAGGCATTCTGAAGATAGGTGATATTTAGACAGTAGGAGATCATCCTCAGAGTGTAGGATGACATCAGGAGAAATCTTTTTGTCATTTTATGTAATATGCATTCAAAGGTTAAAGAACAAGAAAGGAGCAAGTGAGGGAGATTGTGAGCAAGCAGGGGTGAGGAGGAGGAGAAAGCACATCTAACCTCCAGGAGGTCAAGAAGGAAGAGTGTTTAAAGCGTGGTCGGTGGGATCAGATGTTAGAGCCAGGAGGAGCTGATTGAGGCATAACCTGTTGTCACAGGGGAGGCGGTAGTCTAAGAGGAGTTGGCAAGTGAGTGAATTTAGAGGGAGGGGAAGTTAAAGCTGCCATTCCTATTTCTAGCATCGATGAGTGGGAAGACAAGGCTCTGTGAGCTTTGTTAAGAAACACTGGTGGAAACAGTGTGGCTGGATGGGAATATAATGAGTTAGTTCAGTTTGAGATGTTGATGAATTTAAGAATATGGAGGAATATTCTTCCCGCCCTTGGTTAAATCTGTGTATATACAGGGATATGTATGAAGGCTGTCTGGAAAGTATCCAGCCACTCGTGTGTCGTTCATAGTACGTGGCCGGATACTTTCCGGACAGCCCTTTTATATATGAAATAATTTCCTTGTTTAGAAAGAAAGAAATGAGAAATGAAATCTGTTACTTTTTTGTATTCTGAGTATTTTAAAGATTATCTCAAATTACTAACACTGTGCTTATTAGCAGCTTTATATAAATTTTCTTTAATCAAGTGTTGTTAGACTAAATTTAAAGAGGTATGACTCTTTATAAGATGAAGCAGGTCCCCAAAGTCAAAACTCTTATCTGGAAGCATATGAAATGAATATTTAATTCTGTGGTTTCCTTTCCTTTCAGAGATGCACTTAACAAAATGAAAGATGTATATGAGAAAAATCCACAAATGGGAGATCCAGGGAGTTTGCAGCCTAAATTAGCAGAGACCATGAATAACATTGATCGCCTACGAATGGAAATCCACAAGAATGAGGTAGATTTATTATTCAGCAGTTGTCTGAGATAAATTATTTTTATAAACTTCATAATGATTGGTTGTTGCTAGAATTATCTTCCAATATGTATGTTTAATTTTAGGGTTTATGATCTAAAAGTATACTATCATTGTGGTATATAATCTTTAATCCTTCACTAAAGTTTTTATTTAAAAGCTTTATATAAAGCTAAACCTTTATGTTTTTTAAATCAGCTATAAAGTTTATCATTGACCAAATTGGAATAAAAGTTTCTCATCTCTAAAAGTTACATAATTACAGAGACTCTAAGCACATTTTAAATGTAGAATATCATATGAGCTTTTAAACATCTATATTGAGCTCAGTTGTTTGCTTATTTTTTCCCTAAGGCTTGGCTGTCTGAAGTTGAAGGCAAAACAGGTGGGAGAGGAGACAGAAGACATAGCAGTGACATAAATCATCTTGTAACACAGGGACGAGAAAGGTCATTTTTTGCATTTTATTTGTATTCCTTCTTTTCCCTGAAACTTTTCTTACCGTTTGTCCTGAAGTTTATACAATTCTTCTTTTTCCTCCCAAATTTAATAACTTCAGTCTTCTGAACCTAAATAATTTTCTGTTTCTTTAGAAATGTTTACAGGTGAATTAGGAATTCTCATCTTACTGTTCAGTTCTTGTTTGTCATGCATCCAAAGACAGAACTAGGAACATGGAAAATTCTTGGAGCTACAGTCTGGGGACATAAGTTCCTCAGGCATGGGGAAGTGTCTTTTTAAGTTTAGATGGAGTTTGGGTAGCTTATGCCAAAGAAAAATTTTGCTGTCATATTGCTCAAGGTTTTGTGAAGGAAAAAATATGGTTTGTTTGGATTAGAGCTTCCGAAAGACATTTTATTAAGTTTTCCTACCATTTCTGATATTTTTCCCTTGGTGTAATGGATCTTTTTCCCACTCCCAATAATAAAAGTTTACAAATTAGGATTCACCTTAAAGAAGAATTTGAAAGGTCTAGTATCAAGTCTTGGTTTTCTATTTAAATACAGTATATTACTTAAAGTAAAAGCTCTGAGCAAGTTCTATTTTATTTTATTTAATTAATTAATTTATTTATTTTTGCAGTTTTCGGCCAGGGCTGGGTTTGAACCCACCACCTACAGCATATGGGGCTGGCACCCTACTCCTTTGAGCCACAGGTGCTGCCCCTCAAGTTCTATTTTAATGTTCCCTGAGTTTCAGTTTCCTGAAATATAAAATGGAGATGAAAGTACCTATCCTTTGGGGTTGTTAGTAAAAAGGAAATAACGTACATAAAGCACTGGGCAGTAAACTATCTGGTGTGTGTGCTTCACAATGTTGGTTCCTCCCTCTCCTCTCTTTTTCTCCCTTATTCACTGCTTCTTCAAAGAGTGCATTTCTTCAGTATATCAAGAGATAGCCACAAATAACTGTTTTTGTTATTAGGTAAAACCTAGATTAAAAGGATCTAATTTCTCGGGCATGTGTTATTTCAGAACTTGGCCTACAGCCTTACCGAAAGTGCTGCTAAATCTAATCTTAACAAATTTTTCCATTATTAAAACATTACTCAGTCATTTGATTCTTCAGCTAAATTATTAACGTTTTTTCTCTTTGATTTAAAAAAATTTTAAGAAACATCAAATGCTTTTTATGATTTTCCAAGTTACTTTCTTGTTATCATGATTAATTGGAAATTAACTATTTCTTATTTTAGTTAGGAGTCTTTTGGTTTTCAGTGACAGATTGAATACTTATCCATACTGGCTTAAACTAAAAATGGACGTCATTGGCTGATTTTAGGGAGAGCTTGACCTACGAACTCAGATGATATCCTCAAGACTCAGCTTTTTTCCACCTCACAGCTCTGCCCTCTACTCTGTTCACTTTTAAGGCTCTATATGGTGATCTTTCAAAGCTCTAAGCAAACATTTCTCCAGGTTCAAGTCCAGTGGAAAAGTCCAATGAGATTCTCTTACAGGAGTTCCAAGCAAAAGTCTCTGTACATTTCTTGTATCTGATTGGGTTGCAGGACTACTTATGAACTATTCACTCCAGCCATACACATGCGGTGCTCTGATGGCACCTCCAGATCCAGGATAGAAACAACTCCACCTGAAGCCTATGAAATGAACATGAATGTGGATGTGTCCCCTAAAGAATTTTAGGGCTCTCTTGCCAAAAAATGGGTTGATGAATCTGTTATGATGGAAGAGAATTGTTTGCTACATTTTTCCATTTTATCTCTAGACCCAGAGACAGTGAAATGTGTGTACTAAATACTGCTATCTGCCTAGAACGTTGTATTCTTTTAATTTTTTATTTCAGGAAATTCAGCAAAGAAGCATTTTATATTAAAAACAATTCATATACTTAACATCTAAGAAAGTAAGGCATAATTTGGAACCTTGTCTTTGATATTTAATTTTCTGAATTGATTCTAAGGAGATCAACCTATATGCAATACAATAGAGTTCTCATGTTTATGATACTTGATCAGCAATAATTTTATGTTTTATAGTCCTGAAGGAAGTTACACTGATGATGCAAACCAAGAAGTCCGTGGGCCACCCCAACAGCATGGTCACCACGGTGAATTTGATGATGAATTTGAGGATGATGATCCCTTGCCTGCTATTGGACACTGCAAAGCTATCTACCCTTTTGATGGTATGATTTTCTTAATAGATTTTATTTGATAGAGTTGGTTCCTTAAAATCTAAATACATTTGAGTCACTCACTTTAGTATTGTCAGAAAATTATAATCCCAATACATTACCATGTATGCTTTTGTTTTAACTGAATTATTATAAATATAGAGATTTTTCTTCCATACATGAATTGAAAGAAAATTACCCAGGTTATTAGCATCCTAATACAGATTATTATTTAATTATCAACTTTGGTCCATACAGAATTTTCCCCAGAGTTCTTACTAATGCTTACATGTACTTAACAAAGTTGAAGCAGCTTGAACACGTACCCCAACTCAGGAAGTGGATAGCTGGTCGAGGTTACCTCATGTTCTTCCTTGCAGCTTAGTAACATTGAGAGTTAGTTGGCTCAGCGCCTGTGGCTCAATCAGCTAAGGCACCAGCCACGTACACCTAAGGTGGCGGGTTCGAATCCCCAGCCCGGGCTTGCCAAACAACACTGATGGCTGCAACCAAAAAATGGCCAGGCGTTGTGGCGGGCGCCTGTGGTCCCAGCTACTTGGGAGGCTGAGGCAGGAGACTCGCTTGAGCCCAGGAGTTGGAGGTTGCTGTGAGCAGTGAAGCCATGGCACTCTACCCAGGGGGACAGCTTGAGGCTTTGTCTCAAAAAAAAAAAAAAAAAAGAGAGTTAGTTACAGCATAGCCATCGTCGTGTCCTGACTCTGTAGGCCACCTTTTTAGATGAGAGTGGGAGAGAATGTGGTAGCTTCTGACTGCCAACTTTTCCCCTGTGAAAGTTGGGGAATACACTCTGTGATGGGAGTAAGGCACTGAGCCCCTTTCCTGTAGATTTTTAGTTACCTTTTCTTCTTTTAGATTCTGAAAAATCCCTTTCCTCAGCTAAAGAAGAACAGAGTAAACTTTCATTAAAAAAAAAATGTGCTGTAAAATAGTATATAAGGTCTTTCTCCTCCCCTTTGTGTTGGTTTTAAAATTGAGTAAAGTCTTTAGTTTATCCTCATTCTGAGGAAACATTAAATTTAATATCTTGCAGTGGTTCACTCCTTTAGTCCCAGATACTTGGGAAACTGAGGTGGTAGGATTGCTTAAGCCCAGGTTCTAAACTGGTCTGGACAACGTAGTGAGACCTTGTCTCTAAACAAAATAATAATAATAATTAAGCTCTTGCTGTAATGTAATCTAGAGAGTAGGGAAGAAATTCAGTGTATGTTAAATGAAGATTCTGTTGGGAAAACTGTTGCTGCTAAGCAGGTTGGGAGTGTGGTTGGGGTGGCAGAAAAGGGGAGTCCTGAGGCTGGTGAGGGGTTGAAGGAAGGTTAAGTGTTATGGCCATTATGCTTCTACCATCACCAGAGTCATCTTCTACTTTTTTTTTGCAGTTTTTGGTGGGGGCTGGGTTTGAACCCACCACCTCCAGCTTATGGGGCCGGCGCTCTACTCTTTTGAGCCACAGGCACCGCTCCACTCTTCTACTTTTTTCTTGCTCTTTCCTCAAACTGTATTCTTTTGTTCCTTCTTTCCACCCTCTGTCTGTCTTGTTACTATTTTCCTGATCCATACCTCATGAATTCTTTAGATGGAAACTGTTCAAATTTGAGCAAGGAGTTGGAATTTGAAATGGAGTTAGAACACCCTGTGAAATCATATAATGTTACTGTGGCTCAGTTACTTTATCTATTACTGGGGGGTGATACTAATGCCGCTTTACATGCTTATTGTGCAGCTCATACGGGAGATGAACATGAAAGTGTTGGGTAGACGTACAAAGCATAATGGAGATGTTGCTAATGAGAGTCAGTGGACTTGTGGTTCCAAGTATACTGAAAGCTAGTAAGGTGTCATGTTCTTTTGTGCGCTGTACTTGTAACTCTTATTCAAAATTATTGCTGTGCTTAAATTATGCCTGTGCTATGAAAACTCTTATCTAGGACATAATGAAGGTACTCTGGCAATGAAAGAAGGTGAAGTTCTGTACATTATTGAGGAGGACAAAGGTGATGGGTGGACAAGAGCTCGGAGACAGAACGGTGAAGAAGGCTACGTTCCCACGTCATACATAGATGTAACTCTAGAGAAAAACAGTAAAGGTGCAGTAACTTATATATAAACTACCCAGGCAGCTTTGTGCTATGTTTGACATAGGAATGCTAACATAAAATGTAAACACATTCAACCGGTTGGAAAACATACGAAAACAAAGGGCATCTGAGATGTATTGTTCACTGTGTGAGCTGTGTAGGCTTAACGTAAGAGATGTGAATACACCACAAGAACTGTTTTTGTGGCACTTACTGTTTGAGTAATGCTGGTGTGAAGTTTAATTGATGCCTTTTGGTTTATGTCCTGCTTAAGTCTTTGTGAAGAAGGATTTGTGTTTTTCTGCCTTAGAAATAATAGAATTTGATTTACGGGGCAGGAATTCATAAATAGTATGTTCCTCTGCCTCCTCTCCTTCAGAACACACAGTGATTATAGTGAATTCAAACAAGTAGAACTGCTCTGAAATGCTATGGAGAGCTAACTTACCAAAGAGTGTTGTTCTAGGAGTTGAAATTCATAACTACAATTTCTAGGAAAAAAATAATAGTTGGATAATTGGGTAAATAATATTTTTATTTTCTTCCCTATTTTAACTTTGATTTTCCAAAGGAAGAAAATAAACACCTAACATGTAATCTATTTAAGTAATAGGCTAATCAAGAGAGCTACAAAATAAATCACCTGGTCTAGCTGTTAGGTGAATAAAAGGTTTTCTTTTGAGACCTGAAAATATTTTGAGGTTTACTGGTAATTTTCAGTAATGTACAAGCTTCCTTCCAAAATGTCTTTTGGGAAACAATCACTTTACTGATTATTTTGCATTTAGCAATTATATGTAGGAAAATAAATGGTTATATATGGGAAAATAGACATTTGAAGATAAGAAATTTTGAATGAAAAGGAAGGGCTGGGAAATTTTACTTTTTAACAAGAAAAGAAACTTTTTTGACTAATTGGGTTGGAAGACGATATCTTTGCCACCAGTTTAGGGCATTTCATTATTTTAGTTGAATCAGCAGTTATTAGGAGAGATCATTTTTTCTAATTAATTTCAACAAGTGTTTGTTGCAAACAACGTACATCAAGGATCATGCAGTGGTGTGATCACACCATAAGTTAGTTGTGTGGGGAAGTAAAGTTAGGAAGCAGTAAGATTTTGCTCATATTTCAAAATTTTCTCGAGTTTTCAGTAAGTATAAAAGATTTTAGAGAAATTTGGGACAGACACTTTAAACTGAACACCCCTTTTGGTCTTACCAAAAGTCTTCAGTAATTGTTCTTTTCTTTTTCCTCCTGGACTGCAGGTTCCTGAAGAGGGTTTCTGAGGAAATGGGCAAGATGTTGAAGGAGGTTACATGCAGCTGCTTTTGGGGGGAGGGTATTAGAGTTGTCAGGCTCGAAAGAGAGAGTGAGAGAAGCAAGTTGCATGAATGCATGCAGACATGATTATTTTTTACTAACTTCATTAGCATTTGCATACATTGTTTTTAAAAATTGTTGTATATCAGTTCTTAAATTCCTAGTTCACATATTCACCCAAAAGAAAACAGCCAAGAATGGCTGACTTTTTTCCATTTATTTTACTGATGTCCAATCAGTAAAGAATGCAGAGTGATCATAAAATTTGTCTTACATAGGACTGTCCCAACAGGACTGTCTGTATCCCTGCTCTGTTTTAATTATCGTTTAGACCATTGTCTGTTAGATCCTTGCCATTCGTCAGTGTCTGCCTGTGCCACCTCTGTGCTTGCTTAACATCCTGTTGCATGTCTAGAGTGATAGGGCTAGATTTTTCAGGCATGTCTTTATAATCCCTGTTCTTGTCAAAGCCTTTGTTTTGTTTTACATTTGTAGTGCAAATCACTTTGTCAAACATCTCCAGCACTAATGTTTCCATCCTAGTATTTGTGTATGCTGCTATAACTTCCCCACTGCAAACATTCCAGTTTTGGCATTATGAAGAAGTAGTCTGTGAACCTGAAGTATTTATGATGAGAAAAAAGAACACATCTCTGCTCTAGCCTACAGCCCAGTTGAAAGAACTCTTTGAAATGTGATACACCTTGAGCACCTCTGTCTGGGAAGAATCTATAGTCAGCACTGAAATCCTGGCATAATAAACAGAGAAGATACCACCTCAAGACAAAGGACTGTTGTCAGCTGCTTCCATTCAAATGCTGCCTTAAACTAGAGTGCCTAAATCTGTCGATTGCCAACATTACCACTACAGTATCCCACAAGGGCTTTATGTGTCAGCTCAGTGCGACCTCCTTTAACTCTGCGGCACCGGCACCACTGCAGCGGCCGACGTAGCCTCAGCAGGTGGCTATAAGAGCTCCACCACGAATGATGGTGCATCTTCAAATTCGTGCATCAAACTGAAGACATGTTCTAGTCCATTTTGCTTAGTGTTTTTATGAGAAGTTTCGTGGACCTCTCCCCATTGTCTTTTTATTTGGGGTTATGATGATCTCATTTGATTATTACAATGATAGTCTGTTTCCAAGTGATGCTTTTGTTTGAATCTGATAAAATTTAGTGTAACTTTGTAATGATCTATGTGCACTTTTACTTGTAAAATGGGAATTTCTGTATGTTTATACTTGTAAATACAATGGTTGTCAGTGCCCCATTGCTCATGTCGTCTGGCCTCGCGTTTGTGGTTCTGTTAATGACTTGTATCTTAACTAATTTCTTAGTGATGTTGTAACAGGGAGATGGGCGGTGGGGGGGCGGTTATTTGTACCACTGAAGCTTCATTAATTTGGTTCTTTACTGTTTTGAGGGGAGAAAGAGAACGTGAAATGGTTTGTGTATTATTGGATTTTAAGCAATATTTTAGAAGCTGTGTGACTGCTTTAATAATTTTTTCCAGTGTTATTTGAATCATACTACCAGTAATACTAAAGCTGATGACAATTGTGCAAAAGTTAATGCCTTCATAAGATTACACCACTGTTACACAGCGGACATACAGCATATTACCTTTAAGGCTAGTCAACTATAAAGTTTAGATATTGGATCTCGTTACAGGGTTATTTATATAATGTGACATTATTCAATACTGACAGACTACATGAAGTAGTTTTTAAATCTAGTGCTATTTTTATTTTAAAGGTTAGCAAGGAGGAGGAAATGTGATCTGGCTGTGTTTGTCTTCTGTACAAAGCCTGAAGGGCTTATGTTTTTTTGGCCAACAGCCACAGAGGGCAAAGTTTAGGGCTTTCTTGTAAGGACTAACTGTTCTTTTTAAGCTACTGTTTGTTTTTCTAAAGGCAGGACTTGCTTCCGTAGGAGGCAAGTTCCTTCATGTGGAACAGTGCAACCTGGGTTGTTAAAATAGGAAAGACATTTGTACTTCACACAGTTTAAATCATTCTTAAATCATCTTTAAATTTTGAACATGTGAATTGTCCAAAAGAAATCTTTAATTTTTCAGTAATTTTTATCTTTGTGCACATGTTGATTTCTTAATGGTAAATGCTTTGTTTAAGATAGTGTTCTCTGTTGAGAATATTTTCATGGAATAAAACAATCTTTTCATGGCCAGTTAAGGTGTGTAGTGTGTTTTCTCTTGTTGCTGTGTGAACCAGAGAGATAGAATGATGTTTTTTTCAACTATGCTAAACTTCAGATAATACAAAGTAAACGACAGTTCCATAAAGAAGGCAACCCTTTTTTGCAAAGTAGTTTTGGAAATTTTATTCTACTTTTGGTTCTCTCAAGCTCTACTAAAGGAAAAGAATGTGAAGCATTTCTTTAGAGTGAATTTAAATTGGGTGTAGTATTATAGTTTGGATTTATCTTTGTCTCCAGTAGCTGCGTTGCCCTGTATTATCCTCTGCATCCATAAGAACCGTCTCTGCCCGCACATCCTGATCCACCTCCACTCTGGCCAGCATTTCCTGTGCTTCTGTTTGATTCCTCATCAGTGAGGGCACCAAGTCTTCCTGGCATTTTCTCAGAGCATGGAAAGAGAACATTTGCCATATTTAGCACTACATTATCTTTGACTTTAGGAAATCTAATTTCAGAAGGTTCACCTTTTTAAAAAGGCATATGTGAAATTATGACTGCACATTTTTAGAAATCCAAAAAGGGCATGAAACTCAAAGTAATGCTGAACAATAAGAGGTTGGAATTGTTGAGGTGAGAATTTAGAGATTAATGCCAAACTTGGAAGTAGGGACTCACAAAACAATGAATATAGCAAGAAAATAGTGTCAAATGTTACAGCTTCAGATGAACAGAGGTTTGGAGGAGATAAATCTCAAAGAAAAGGGCTTTTACTGTCTGAACTAAAATCAAGGAAGCCACATTCTAGTTGCTAGAGAAAGATAATATTCTTATAACAATATTAACAAAAGGAGAAGGATCTCCAGGCTTATTGAAAAGGATTTTCTTTTAAAGAAGGTATGGGACCTTATCTGAAATGCTTGGGACCTGAAATATTTTGGATTTTGGAATATTTGCATCCTATGCTTACCAGTTGAGCATCCCTAATATGAAAAACCCCAAATTTGCTATGCTTCAGTGGGCATTTCCTTTGAGTATTCTGTTGGTGCTCAAAAGTTTCGTATTTTGGATTTTCAGATTTGAGTTACTCAGCCTGTAAAAGTTTAGGTGAAAAAACGTTTAAGAAACGCTGAACCTATTTTGATGAGTTCATATAGCTAAGATCAAATAGATTCCTGAGTAGAACCACTGTCAAAAATTAGAGAAACTATAGAAAATTATAAGAAGTGCCAGGTGGTGCCTGTGGCTCAAGGAGTAGGATGCCGGCCCCATATACTGAAGGTGGCGGGTTCAAACCCGGCCCCAGCCAAAAAAAAAAAAAAAAGTGTCAAAGGAATGGGGAATGGGCAAACGTTGTAAATTTTGAAGAGTGATTCTGACAAGTTTGACAATAGCCCTTAAAATACTAGATGATGTTGATAGCATTGGGCGGGGGGGTGGGGGGGGCAATGTAATGGACAACTGACCACTTAGTTCCCTAAGAATAAGTCGTGTCCAAATAGTTGCATTCCTTTCTTTTGATACAAATGGGGAAATCTAAGACACAGTGTCTTGCTTTCTGCACAATTTCAATTTGACAATATTTCTCACTTATTTTTGTAAGATGGTGACAGCATTATAGAATAGGCTTGTGACAAGCTGATTTGGTAAACCTGGAATCTGATCCCTGAACAGTATCATGTGGAGAAAATGTACATGTTTGTTATCAACCATAATAAATACATATATCACCCAACTTAACAAATAGAAAAACTTATCATCTCTTCCTCCAAAGGTAACTATTGATATTATCTTGAATCTTGGGTTTATTTTGTTTATCTTTGTAGTTTTACCACGTGGATATTTTTTCCTAAACCTGAGTAGCCTTTCTTGTTTTTGAGCTCTGTACGTGTGGTGTCCGTAAAGATGGTCTGTAGGAGGGCTGAGCCGCAGCTAGCGCATTTTGATGTGTGACCATAGTGAATGCTAAGTACTGCACTGTTTCCACACTGGCTGGTACGTAGTAACTAGGAAAAGCAGTAAGAAACAACAACAGAAACCCTAGTTAGTCATGAAGTTTCAGTACATGTGGTTCCTCTCAGAAACCACATACAGCACTGTGAAACCAAGGCATTTCTGGTGTGAGCACTGGAGACAAGCTGAAGAAGGGCTCACCGTAGATGGGCTGTTACTTATTTCAGGTGCTGGAGAGTCCTCTGGTTTCATAACCTCTAGGGCAGTGGTTCTCAGCCTTCCTAATGCCGTGATGTATTTTCACAGTTACAAAAGGATTGCGACCCACAGGTTGAGAACCACTGCCCTAGGGTGAGCGAGGGCCCAGGCAGCCCACCTCAGTCTCCCACAAAGGAACACCTCACCCTGCTCAGTGAAGGGAAAGCTGGGTCTGGGCTCTGAAGCAGCTGAGGAGACTGGAAGGGAGCATGGGTCCTGGTCCCTTCCATGGTTTTCAAAGGGTACTTTTGGTTTTGTTTTCTTTAAAGAGGTAGAGTCTCACTCTGTCACCCAGGCTGGAGTACAGTGCTTTGACGACAGCTCCCTGCAGCCTCAAACTCCTGGGCTCGTGATCCTCTCGCCTTGGCATCCCTAGAAGCTGGAACTATAGTTATGCACCATCAGGCCCAGGTAATATTCTTTTGTAGAGACAGATTGATCTTGAACTCCTGGCCTCGAACAGTCCTTTGATCTTGGCCTCCCAGATTGCTATAAGCCACCGCACTGGGTCCCAAGTTTTGCCTTATTTTGGCAATGTATTCTCTGGTGGAGAGCAGTTTGCCTGTGTGTTCAAAGAGGTGTAAGGAGAAGGACTGCCCAGAAGAGAGTGTCCTGCGAGTCACCGCTCAACTCCTGCTGTGTTCTCCCCTTCCCTTGGGTGGTCTCCAGATAGGAGGGTCACGTTCACCTGTCCTCTTCACCTCCACAAGTCCACCCTTCCCTCCCTTGCCAGGCAGACCAAGCCAATGCACCTCAGGCAAGCAGAAGCCCTAGCAGACTCGCCCAGTGTCCCTGTTCTCCTGCTCCTTCCTTTTCTGCCTTGTGCTGTGTCATAGCTGGCATCCAGCCAGTCAGTGGTGGTTTCCTGATTGGCTAGAGTGGGGCACACAGTCTGAGTGGAATGAGACAGACAGAAACCACAAGCTCCCAGTTCTGGCAAACCAAGATCAGCTGTCCCCACTCATGTCACCCCCTCTTCCTCCCTTTCTGCACTCTGGAGTGGGCGCCACAAGTCTTGGCAGCTGTGTAGCTAGCTGCCAGATGGTGCAATGCTGTCTAATGAGGGTAAGATGGGGATCAGCTGCATGTCCCCTCACTTCAGGTGCCAGACAGCACATCAGTAAGTTAATAACTGAATTTAAAGGGGGAAGTCACTGAAAAAGTTTGCAGTTCCTTCCCTGTGTTGAATGGGAGGGCATCATTTAGCTGCCCATACCAAACAAAAGTTTGTACCAACCAGTTTGTTTCAACAAATGATTTGAAAATTATTAGTAATTGATGAATGATTTGTGCTTTTATCACTTGGTAAATTTTTATTACATAATTTAAAGAATTTCACTTGTTCTCTTATACATTGGTATATTTAGAAACATCTCACTTGTCAAACATTTTGAATATTCCATTGTCTTGAGGTTGCTTTTTCATTCAACACTGTTTCTAAGCTTTATCCGTGTTTACGCATATTTCATTTTACTATGTATAGTATTCCACTGTATATACAATTTATCCTCTTGATGGACATTTGGGTTATTTCCTGAGTTTTGCTGGTAAAAAACAATTCTGCTTATGCATATCCACGTGCATGTTTACTGATGTGAGAGTTTCTGTCAGGTCTGTACCTAGGAGAAGAATTGCCAAGTTGTGAGTTATATTTTCAATTTTAAAAGATAATACCATGTTTTCCTCCCCAAATTATTGTAACATTTTTACACTGCTACAAGCATTGTGTAAGGGGTACAATCCTGGCCAATACTTAGGAGTCAGACTTCAATTTTTGTCAGTTCCAAGGCTGTAAAAGAACATTTCCCTGCTTATTGATGCTGAGCCTCTTTTCATGTTTATTGTATATTTTTCCATCTTGTGAAAAGCCTGTTTTCATCTTTGCACACTTCCTTTTTTTTTGAGACAGAGTCTCACTTTGTCACCCTGGTAGAGTGCCATGGCGTTATAGTAACCTCAAACTCTTGGGCTCAAGTGATCCCCTTGCCTCAGGCGCCCACCACAATGCCTGGCTACTTTTGGGGGGGGGGGGTCTCGTTCTTGCTAGGGCTCGTATTTTTTTTATCTTCTTACTCAGGTCTAGGTGAGCTTTGAGCCTAAAAGGCCAGCACTTCAACACTGAGCTACAGTGCCCAGCTTGTCCACTTTCCTATGTGGTTGTCTTAACATACTAATTCATGGGGGTTCTTGTGGATGAGATGCTGGTTGTGGTAGTTCTCTCTTACTGTGTAGCATAGCTGGCTGACACTGGCTCAGTTTCTCATGAAGTTGCAGTCATCTCAAGACTCTGTCTGGGGCTGGTGTGTCTACTGCCAAGATCATTCAAGTGGTTGCTGCCTACCTCAGTTCTTTGCTGGCTGTTGGCTAGAGACTTTGATTCCTTGGTGTGTGGACTCCATGGGATGCTTGCCCCAGGGTGAGTGATCCAAGACTCAAGATGGAAGTTGCAGTCTTTTTATAACTTAACACACATGACATGCCATTACTTCTGCCCAGTAACCCTGGTACAGCATGGGAAGAGACAATGTGAGTGTTAGCAGGAGGCAGGGAGTGTTGGTGGCCTTCTTGGAGGCTGCCTGCCATTACTTCTGCCCTGTAACCCTGGTACAATGTGGGAAGGGACAATGTGAGTGTGAGCAGGAGGCAGGGAGTGTTGGTGGCCATCTTGGAGGCTGCCTGCCGTGCTGATCCCTTTGTCAGGTTTACATTTTGCTAAGCTCTCTGTTTGCTCCTTTTCTCTATATTATCTTTTGATGAATAGAAGTTCTTCATTTTAATGCAGATTAATCAATATTTCATAATAAAAATGCTTTTTTGGTCTACCTTC